TAGGATAAAAATATATTTTACTTGTATCTATAGAATTTCCATGGGTCCAATTACTCTGTAAAATATCAGATGGACACATTTATGACATAAATAGCACTGCCCTAGAAAACTAAATATAAGTGGATAATGACCTATAAATATCTGATAATTGGTAGGCTTTTAATAGGCAGTACATCATCTCAATCATTTTTAGCATCTTATTTTGCAGGATATAAACTGCTTCAAGATTGTTATATATTATGTAAAGAATCAACAATGATAAGGCCACTATGCTTAATTTGCTATTAGTATCCCTTTAAAAAGATTTATTATGGGTTAATGAGTAATATAAAAGCTATTAATTTTAGGTCACTTTTAATTTATTGCATAGAATTTTATCATTTTGTAACATAAAATTAAATTATAATGCTCCTGAATTTAGAATTGGTGTAATTTGTTTGCATATATATGCCTTTAATTCAGCAAGAACCAGATTTGCAGGATTATGATTTTCAGCATATAGGCAGTAAAAACTTCTGAATGATTTGCCACTGTATCAATTAATCAACATGATGAATGTAAGAACTTTATTTCCTATTGGTACTGACAGTAAAAAAAATTTTAATGTTATTATGAGAAAAAAATAAAACACTTAATGAAGATCTATAATCATCAAGAAGTTATGTACATTAACATGTAAAAAGTTATAATCAAATATTACTAAGAAATCAAATCACCTAAAAAGTGAAATGTTTTCTTATTAAAACACACACACACACACACACACACACACACACACACACACGAATGCTTATAATGTCCTAGGCACTTTTGTAGACATTGAGATACAGAAGCAAACAAAAGACAGAAAATACCCTCTCCTGAAAGATGTCTGATTCTAGTAGGATACAAATCTACACTAATAAAAGAGAAACATGCAAATGTTGTCACTCCACTATGCCCACCAGCCAATCAGGATGAGTATGCAAATTAAACCAATGATGGCGGTTAATTTGCATATGCAGGCACGTAGGGAAGACTGAAGCCTGAAGAGGCTTGGCTTCTCCGCTGTGGCTGGAGCAAAGGCCTGGGTCCTGGGTGCCAGAGGAAAACCAGTGCTGGCAGCCAGGGGAAGGAAGGCCTATTGCATGAATCTCTTTGTGCAATGGGCCTCTAGTAAATACATAATTGATATAATAATTACATAGAGATAATTGCTATGAAGGACCCTTCAAAAATAGGTGGGAAAAGGGATACAGAGTGTTCTTTTAATATAATGTGGTTAGGCCTGTAAGAGTACCTCACATATGAGAACTAATGAAATAACAAAAAATGCTCATATCTGAGGGGAGTATAATAGCAAGGGGACATGTACTCTATTCAGGCCAATTAGATATTTTCTACTGTCACTGTTAGTACAGTATGTTTTGTATCTAAATGTTTTATAGAATCATGATTAAGAAGTAAAGGAAAAGTGTAATCATTGTTTCTCTGCTTCTATTATTGAAACTCTCGAGTCCATTCCATACACAGTAGTCAGAGTCATTTAATAAGCATGTGAATTAGCATAGTGGGACCTGAAGAGTATTTTGCTAAGCAAAATAAGCCAGTCAGAGAAACACAGGTATCACAAGATCTCACCTGTATGTGGAATATAATGAACAAAATAAACTGATGAACAAAATAGATCCAGAGACATGGAGCATGGAACAAACAGAGGAATCTCAGAGGGAAGTGGGGAGGGAAGGCATGAAGAGATTAACCAAGAAATTTAAATGCATACTAGAGGCCCAGTGCACAAAATTTGTGCACGGGGTGGGGGGGCCTCAGCCCAGCCTCTACCCTCTCTAATCCGGCAGTTGGACATCCCTCTTGCAATCTGGGACCGTTGGCTCCTAACCACTCACCTGCCTGCCTGCCTGATTGACCCTAACCACTCTGCATGCCTGCCTGATTGCTCCTAACCACTCTCCCCTGCTAACCTGATCACCCCTAACTGCTCTCCCCTGCTGGCCTGATCACCCCTAACTGCTCTGCCTGCCTACCTGCCTGATTGCCCCTAACTGCTCTCCCCTGCCTGCCTGATCACCCCTAACCACCTCTGCCTTGGCCCCCTGCCACCATGGCTTTGTCCAAAAGGACATCAGGGAGACGTTCAGTCTATCCGGTCTAATTAGCATATTACGCTTTACTCTTTTATTAGTATAGATATGCCTAACCCATGTACACAGCCAATAGTGCAGGCAGGGATTGTGGAGTGGAATGGAGGGGGCCAACAGGGGGAAAAGGAGGACATCTGGAATACTTTCAACAATAAAGATAAACTTAAAAGAAAGTAATAAGCACATGAATTAAAAAAACACAAAACTTTTATTTTTAATCTTACTCTCTTCTCAAGTTACTGTCCATTTCTTGTGTCCATCATAAAAAAATAAAACCTTACTTTAATAAATAGTATATAATCTCACTCAGCAATTTTATTTCTCATACTGTCTCTTAAACCATCCTCAGACTTTGTTTTGCACTCATCATTCTACCAAATATTCTTCTTGACAATGTCATCAATGACATTTGCTTTTCTAGCCCCAATGGTTAACATCCCTTCTTTTACTTAATCAAAAATAACAGTTGACACTGTTGATCAGCCCTCTACTTGAAACTATGTGGCTTTCTGAATATATTCTTTTGTTTTCCCTCCTGTAACACTGATTGCTCTTTTCAGTTTATTTTGCTTGATCTCTTTCTCCCCTGTACTCCTACATATTGCAGTACCCCTGGGCTCAGTCCTTGGTCCTTCATTCTATCTCCATTTACTCCTTTTTTATTTTATCCAGTATTACCATTGTATATCTAAAGACTCATAAATTTATGTTTTCACTGCAGACTATCTCATACAGCCAACTGTACATTCGACTTATCCACTGGGTTGTCTAATTGGCAACTCAATCATAAATTCTGAAACAATGCTAAGCACTGTAGCTTGCAAGGAAAATAGACGGGTTGTGAAAAAAAATAAAGAACACGTTGATACTTCAAACTTTAAGATGCATTTACAATACCAGAACAATGTGTTATATCAAGTAATTTTACAAAATGTGTTTCTCAGTCACATTGAGCTCAGTGTGTCATTTCTTATTTTAACACTGTGAGCAACAGTAGCAGCAGCAAAACAACAGCATGGTGAATGCAATTGCTAGTTGAATACCTAAAGTCCCAAAAAGAAATCTCAATAATTTGAAAGATGAAGGGCAATGTGAAATTTAGAATGAACACTGTTTCATAGCCAATAGGTAATGCTTCATATTTATGTAAGAAAATCTATAGAAACTAGCTTTTGATTTTTTTTTTTTTGGTTTTTAATTTAAGCTGAGACTTTTGTGCATGTAACAGTTGTTACCAAGGTAACTTTCTCTGCAGCTCTCTGGATTCAACAGAAAAGGTACCCGCATATTCTTTGTTGAAGTGACTTAACTTGCTCTTGCATTTTGATCACTTATTCACTAAAAATATTTCCAGTTCTTTATCATTTTTGTTTTCCAATCTCATTCCTATTTGTTTAGTGTTTTTTTACTCATGTGAACAATCTTATATTAGATTTACATACCTATTTTTCCTTTGAAAAGGAATCTAAAAGATCCCAGTGATGTAGAATTCATACATTAATAATTTGAGATTTTAACACATTCTTGATGGGTCCACATGATTAATATTGGTATATCAAAACAATACATCCTTATATTTCATAAGTATAATTTCTCAGCAGACATTTAGAGGACTATAGTCCCATTTGTTTACTTTTTCCTTTGTTTCCCTTGCCCTAAGAGATATTTCGGCAAAAATATTGCCACTAGAGATGTCTGAGATTTTACTGCCTACTTCTTCTGCCAGAATTTTTATGGTTTCATGAGTTACATTTAAGTCTTTTATCCATTTTGAGTTTATTCTTGTGTATGGTATAAGTTGGTGGTCTAGTTTCATTTTTTTGCTTGTATCCGTCCAATGTTCCCTTTATTGAATAGACTATCTTTACCCCATTCTATGCTCTTGCCTTCTTTGTCAAATATTAATTGACCATAGAGGTATGGGTTGATTTCTGGGCTCTCTGTTCTGTTCCATTGTTCGATATGCCTCTTATGCCAGTACCAGGATGTCTTGATTACAGTGGCCTTGCAATATAGTTTGATATCTGGTATTGTGATTCCTCCAATTTTGTTCTTCTTTCTCAAGTTTGATGAGGTTATTCTAGGTCTTTTTTTTTGTTCTATATAAATTTTTGGAATTTTTTTCTAGATCTTTGAAATGTGCCATTGGTATTTCAATAGGGATTGCATTGAATCTATAGATTGCTTTGGGTAGTATGAACATTTAAATGATTTAATTATTTTAATTAGTGAACATGTTGTATGCTTCCTCTTATTTGTGTCTTCCTCAATTTCTTTCTTTAATGTCCTATAGTTTTCTGAGTAGAGGGCTAATTAATGCTTTTCTCCTTTTTTAAAGTTCCTTGGTGACTTTTCTCCCAATATTTGGATAGAATTTATTTGGTGAAATAATTGATATTAGGATAGCTAACTCCAAATCATACTTTTCTGCTAGAACTTCAAATTCACAAAAGCTCCTTGGTTAATTTTTAGTATATAGGTAGATTTAAAGGAAATAAACATATTTTATATGACATTTTTATAATAGTTATAATAGTAATATTTATCTTAGATTATTCATACACCTATATTTATTTTCTGTATTATAATCATATAAACATATTTCAGAAAAATTTCAATACGAAAAAGCATAAAAATATAAAACACCTTGAAATATAATCCATATATTTCTTAGTCTTTAGCAAATTGTAGATTAAAAGCATATTTTTTATTTTTATTAATTTATAACATACCAAGGATTTCCTTGACCTTTCTGTCTTATTTGCATGTGACAGATTATTTCGGGTTTTAGAGAATAGTATAAGGTTTTCATTTATTTACAGATAGTGATAGGTTGATATAAGCAGGGCAGAGAGAGGCTTACCTGTATCACCAGGAACACAGAGGCAGTTGTATGCACAGGTTCTGTTAACCCAATCTTCTCCATCTAGACAAGGTTTGATTTCACATTCATTCATATCCAGTGCACAGAGAGATCCATGGTACCCAGGTTCACAACTACATAAAAATCTAGAGAAAAGTGGGAAAATGAGAAATAACATGTAATAGCAAGAAATATTCGAATATATACATAATCCTAATATATATACTAAACTTTAGATGTTTGACTTAATTTAAATAAATGGTTATGCTTCCATTTCATTTTTTTTAAAGAAAATACAATTTACCTTTATATGGTTCTCAATCTCCAGAGTTCCCCCAATGAAATTTGAAACTGGCCCCTGGGGCAAGAAAAGACTAAAGAAAGGGGAAGTCCAGTCCAGATTGGCATGGTGTCAGGTTTAATAAACAGGGAATCTTTATAACTTGTGCAGCTACAAGAAGACTAGATCTCCACACCCACCCACCAGAATCTTAAAATTTATATAGAGGCCTTAAGAGGGTTCAGTCACAAGTACAGAGAAGATAGTCTCAATAACACCTTCCTCTCTCAAAGCCACTTCTCAATCCTTAAAGTGTCTCCTACTGTGGGAATAGTGTTTGGAACATACATTACAAGGACAGAGGGGATAATAAGCCTCAGATCACATGGAATCAGCTTGAAGGTCAACTGTCAGTCACATCCTCTCAATAAGTTCTTCCAACAACCATTTAGAAATGTTCCTCTTAAATATTCTTTAGGTGAGATTTTTTTAATGAATGTGCTCGGGTACATAATTAATGAAACTGAAAAATACTATTGAACTTACTTCCACAATTGTAGTAATTTTACTATTATATAAATACTAGAGGCCTGGTGCATGAGATTTGTGCACTCGGGGGGATGGGGGTCCCGCAGCCTGGCCTGTGTCCTTTTGCAGTCCGGGAGCTGTTAGTTGGACATCCTTAGTGCTGCCGTGGAGGTGGGAGAGGCTCCCACCACCATACAGGGTTCTGGCTGAGCAGTGCTCCCTCTGTGGGAGCACACAGACCAGCAGGAGGCAGCTTCTGCATCACGTGTCTGCCCCCTGTTGGTCAGTGTGCATCATAGCGACTGGCCATTCCACTGTTCGGTCAATTTGCACATTAGCATTTTATTATATAGGATAAACATTTAACTATTTTAGGTTTAAAATGGAAGACTATTCTGTCTATGGATTTAATGGTATTTTTATGATATTAAAGCCCTCCTCTTTTATTGGCACATGATGGAGAAGTCATGTAATTCAATAATTAGATGTCAGGTTCTAAGTATCACACACTTTAAAAAATTTTTTTTATTGATTTCTGAGAGGAAGGGAGAGGTAGAGAGAGATAGAAACATCAATGATGAGAGAAAATAATTGATTGGCTGCCTCCTGCGTGCCTCACACTGGGGAGAGAGCCCACAACCTGGGCATGTGCCCTGATGGGGAATCAAACACTGACCTCCTGGTTCATAGATCTACCTTCAACCACTGAGCCATGCCAGCCGAGCTACGTATCACACACTTAATAGAGGGAGTGATCTTCAAAAACCTTGTCATTGACCTGAAGCACTGAAGCATGAAACAGACTGACATAGAAAATGGTTTCCAGAAACTTCTTCTGAATCACCTTTTAATGTGCACTATTTCCTCCTTATCTTAGTCATTGGCCTCTGAGGACTCTGAGTTGCTAAGCTCAGATTTGTCCTCCAGACTTTTATTTGAAAGAGTTTCTTTGCTCCTATGTGAATTTCTTTTTATTGATTCAGATCTTGTCTCAATTTTTCTCTGATTTTTTCCCTCTAGTCTAAGCTGTGGCAGATATATATATATATATATACATATATATATATATATATATATATATATATATATATATATATATATAGTAGAATTACCCTGAAATTATTTTCAGTCTATTTCTAGATATTATACTGACTATGTCTTTGTTTCAACATCTAGTCAGTCTGTATCTAATTGCCAGAAGCTAGAAGATCAATTCTCCTTAGTTGTGTACTGTTATATGTAAAATAACATCAGTAAAAGCAGCAACCAATAATTCATGATCAAACCAATAAAATATGTGAAGAAAAAGAAAAAGAGATCATTTAAACTCTCTTAACTTCTTGTTTTCATAGAAAAAAATATTAATTAAATTAATTTCCACAGATAACTATACGTTGAGAGAAATGTACACTCAGCAAAACAAGCTCTCCATAGTGATAGGTCTTTCCCCTCTTGTAAAAGTCTAAATAAAAAGCCTTTGCCAAATTTCCTTGTAATGCTTTTGAGACAGATTTTTATTCCACTTTTCCAAAGGAATTCTTCCTAATTAACTTAAGTATTGACATAATTGTAATTACAATGAAAATGTAACCAACATAAATCTAACATGCCCATGACCCTCTTTTATTCATTCACCATATTGACTGTGTGCCAGACTTTAGTTGGGACTCAGATCCAAGTGTACTAGTAAATAAGGCTTGGACGTGCTTTGGAAAATCTCATAGAGAAGTCAGGGACATCAACTATAAGCATTACAGTAAATATATTCCAATAGAGAAGGTGTGAAGTACTATAAAAACACAGATAATTGCTAGGGAAGATGACAGGAAAGGTTTTACTGGTTAGTCATAAAGAAAGAATGGGATCTTTGTATCGTTGGATAGAAAGCATTAAAAATGAATGTAAAAGCCCTCGCTGGTTTGGCTTAGTGGAAACAGTGTTGGCCTGGGGACTGAAGGGTCCCAGGTTAGATTCTGGTCAACGGTGTGTACTTCGCTTGCAGGCTTGATCCCTGGCCCTGGTTGGGGCATGTGCAAAGGCAACTAATTGATGTGTCTCTCTCACCTTGCTATTTCTCTCTCTCCCTTCCATTCTCTCTAAAAACCAATGGAAAAATATCCTCAGGTGAGGATTAAAAAAATTGCATGCACAAGGTCATGCTGTTGTAAAAGAGAATTAAATTTCTCAGGAGCTCACCATGTGACTGGGGAATTGACCATAATTACTTTTTTAGGGTGAAATTAATCCAATGACTGTGACTCCTTGAATTTGTGTTCACATAGCAACATTTTTCTCCATTTCCACTATCACACTAGTATATCCTTATCTAGTGCAAAATAATATAACAAATGCTTCAGATACATTACTAAAATTAAGGTATACTTGTTAATGACAGTCTTTCTTTGCTATTGTGTGTTCTTAGTGAATAAATGATGATTCCAAGGAATCAGAGTAGGAGCTGGGCACAGTGTTCTCAGGTGTAATAGTAAAAACATTTCAGGATATTATTATTTCAAATTGATAAATTTGAAAATGTATTTTTACAAAATATCTATAATAATAAAAGCATAATATGCTAATTAGACCGGACGTCCTTCCAGATGACCTTGTAGACAAAGCCGTGGTGGCGGGGGCTGAGACAGAGGTGGCTGTGGCAGTGGCAGGGGCAGAGCCCTTTGGACGAATTTTGTGCATCGGGCCTCTAGTATAAGATAATGACTGATCTCAATTTAAACATAGTTGCACATACACAGAACAGTTATATCATATTTCCAAAAGTTGCAAAACCTACTATCTAGTAGAGAGCAAGATGGTGGCCAGCAAGACAGCAGTGAGGAAGAGATTATGAGAGAGTAAGGGAGTGAAAGAGGAATGTGTGGATGTGGGGTGTGTGTGTGTGTGTGTGTGTGTGTGTGTTTGAGTAAGGAACAGTTAGATCCTTCAGGACTTTCGGAGGCTGGCAGACCAGGCTCTCTTAGACAAGGAGCCCCTGCTACCACTGCAAACACTCCCAGGCAGCTGATGCTGGCACAGAAACCATGCCATCTTGAAGGGCAGAGCTGCCATGACTAGGAGCCCAGCCTTACTACCATCCAGGCTGGTCTCAGATGCTAACTTGGACCCTAGAGCCACTCTGAACAAAGACCTGCTACCGCAACTTCAGACCCATGGACACCTAGACTCCAGCCATCCTGGCTGCAGGCTCCTGTGAGTCCCAGAGGATGTTCCCCTCATGCCAATGCTCTGTGGCTGTGGGCTCCAGCCCCCAACCTCTCCCCTCTCAGTGCATCGACCAGCTATGGCCACACACCCCAGCCCCCAAGCTCTACTTTGACTCTCGCTGGCCCATTGTGGCTACACGTCTCAGTGCCTGAGCTCTCCCATGACTCTTGGGGTATGCATTGCTCCCACCAAGCACGCCGCTGTGGCTCAGGCCCTGCAATTCAGTGCCTGGACCCTTTAATTATAGCAAAAATGGGGAGATAAATAAACAATCCCCAAAGGAAAGAAAAGGAGGAATCACCAAAAAAAGGAACTAAATGAAATAGGCATGCAATATGTCAGAAAAAGAATTCAGAGTAATGGTCATACAGTTCATAAACTGGATGGACGAGAAAATCAACAACCTATATAAGAATCAAGAGGAAATCAAAAGTGATATAGCTACAATAAAAACACCATGGAAGGTTTTAACAGTAGACTAGGAAAAGCGAAGGACTGAATAAGTGAGTTAGAAGATAGGGTAGAGAAACAAGACCAATCTAAACAGCAATTGGAGAAAAAAATTACAAAGCAGGAGGAGAGCCTAAGGGAGCTTTGGGACAACATGAAACAAAATAACATAAGTATAATAGGGGTGCCAGAAGGACAAGAAGAGGAGCAAGGATTAGAGGACCTATTTGAATAATGATGACAGAAACCTCCCTGAGATG